TAGACAATTAATGGTTGGATGCAGATGTCATGATGGCAGGCACTCTCCTACTCCGTTATCACTGTCTACTGAATTTGAAACTATTTGCAAGCTGTGACCCATTTCCCCACTAACATGGACATTCTGGTGATGTTACAGAGTTAGCATTCTAGGATGGTCACCTCAGAATGCGCATTCTTACATGGTTTTCCCTTGTCAAGTACTGTAGGCAAACCAAAGCCAAACAAACAAACAATCATCTGTAGTAGAGTGGGTGAATCAATGCAGGCCATGCACGGTACAACAGAATATTCACACAGTGAACAAAATCTTATACACTCTGGATATTTCAGTCTAGTGAAAGAAGCAAAACCTAAAATATGCCTGCCACAAGTTTCCATTTACATATGGTCTGAAAACAAGCAAAACGAAATTGAGTAGTCAGTGGTGCATACACAAAGAACAATGACACAAAGAAAAGGACTGGCCACAAAAATCAGAGGAGAGTCTGCGAACTGGGAAGAATGAGAAGCCAAACAGGCTGAGCTTGGTAATACTGGGGACTTTCCTGCTTGATGCGGGTGTCCACTTGGTAATGCAGGAAACTGTACACTGTGTTTTCTGATTTGGGGTCCATGTCATCGCTTATAGCAAAGTTTAAGATAAATGCATAGTAATAACTGTGCATAAATGTAAATTACAAATAAATAGAAAAACTAATTGCATATATCTCCAAAATTGCCTGTGATGATAAATACTCTCTATATAAGTGGGTCTTCCTCATTGGTTGTCTAGTTTGTTTCTCCATTGCTGTGACATGGTGGCTTGCTTGCCACCATGCCTCCCCACCATGATGGACTCTTACCCCTCTGTAACCTTAAACCAAAATGAATTCTTCTATAAGTTGCCTTGGTCATGGCATTTTATCGCAGCAACAGAAAAGTACCTAATACAACTATGTCCATTAAAAACTTGAACAATCCCAAATCTTCTTTCTTTTCAAGAAAATGTCTAGCCAGGCATGGTAATACACACCTTTAATCTCAGCACTTGGGAGGCAGAGGCAGGAGGATCTCTATGAGCTTGAGGCAAGCCTGGTCTACATAATGAGTTTCAGTTCAGTAATGATTATATAACAAGACTGTCTCAAGCAAAACAAAACAAAAAATGAAACAAAAAGCGAAAGAGAAAAGATTTAAACTTGTGTTCAATAATATCGTAGTTATAACCTCATTCCCTTTTCCTTTGAGATGTGAATCTCCTCTCTACTTGTTTCCAGTTTTAAGGCTCAAGAATGTCTTTCTCAATGACCTGTTCTCCATCTCTTGAAATACAAGCATCATTTCTTTCTTTAAAATTTTCTTAAAGATTTACTTATTTATTATATGTCTGTGTGTGTGCATGCCTGTGTGAGTTTATGTACGCCACATGTGTACTGATATGCACAGAGGCCAGAAAAGGGCATCAGATTACCTGCAACTGCATTTACAGGTGTTTGTGAGTGGCCTGATTTTATGTGATGGAAACTGAACCTAGCTCCTCTGTACAATCTGTGAGTGCTCTTAACCACTGTACCGTGTCTCCAACCCATCACTTCTTTCTTATTTAACTTTTCTTCTTATTTAACAGTGAAAGTTTTACTCTGACACTATCTCCATTTAACTGACAAGGAATCTAAGGTCAAAGAAAATGGTATAACTTGCCTCCAGTCACATAGCAAGTATGGCAAGATTCTAGTCTTATTGCCACTGACACATACATGCTGGACATCAGGGATTCCCATTTTGTCTGAATACTGTCTAGAGTGAGCACGGCCATGTTACAAATTACTTTTTAAAAAATATTTTGTTTTTATTTTATGTGTTTGAGTGTATTGCCTGCACGTATGTAAGTACATTGGTGTCGTGCAATGCTGGTGGAAGTGAGAAGAAAGTGTTGGATCCCCTGGAACTGGAGTTAGGTGGCTGTTAACTGTCATGTGAGTACTGGGAACCAAACCTGGGTCCTCTGCAAAAGCAGCCAGTGCTCTTGACCCCTAATGCTATTATTTCATTTCATTCAATTCAATATAATAGACATGACTAACATTTGTTATCTTTATCTTATAATGAAGAACTTAAGCTCAACACTTTGCTCAAATCAAAGAGCCAGCGAGTGAGCAAGCCAATTAAATTATTTGTTTGCAAGAATGTAGGGCCCCAAGGTTTAAGAGTCAAATCCTCATCACTGTCTTGCCCTGTCTGTGAATCTAACCGGACCCAGATACCTGAGAAGGGCTGGTTTGAAAAGAATCCAGTTTCTGATGAAGCCTTCTCTGCCCATGCTACTTTCCTTTAAACCAGTACCCTGCAATGATCCGGTATTCCGGGCTCCCTCCCCTGCACCCCACTCTTAACATTCACTTTGAACCCTTATTTGTTTATTCTCACTTGTAACTTTTGTTCTTGGGCAGCAAGTATGTGTTGTCACATTTTCTGTGGTGGCCTTCTTTGCAGACTGGCTTCTTTTATACGAGGTTTCTCAGATCATTCAAGGTGACACTATGGAGGGAGAGGAGAGAGTCAGAAACCAGTGCAGAGAGAGAACAGTGGGGCTCTGGAGAAAATGCTTGAACAACACAGAGGAGGGACGGCAGAGAAAAGGTGTCCCTCAGATAGCCAGGAAACTTGAGCACCAACCACAGCTGCTGTCACTGTCACTGTTTCAGTGGCTGTGAACAACATCCTAAATTCTCTGTGCAGCTTACTGGCTTTGAACTCACCAAGGGCTGAACTCATTGCATTGGGCACAGTCCTTCTCGGAGGCAGAAGGCAGGAAGGGAGAACTGTGAAGAGAAGGGGAAACCTTTGCTTCTCAGGCTAATAATAGACTCTCCTATAAAAGATTCTGAGTCACCTTCTCAGTTCTCCAGAACGTGTTTAGTGGTGGGCGTTTGTGGGGTGAGAGGCATGGCACATCGTTTCTCTCTCTCTCACAGGCGTTGCATGTGTGGATCCATCAGTGCCTCTTGTGGGATGTGTAATCTGACAGCCTAATGACTCAGAAGCCTTGTAGGGAACAGAGGTTTTCATTTTGGCTATGAGCTGCCTCCAGAAGACAATCTTACCTCTAGCCATGCTGCTTATATGCCTTCAAATCCTGAAACTGGATGTAGGGCCAACCCATTTCCTTGACCAGATGGGATCATATGGGCTTTTAGTCCTCTGAGCTCTTTATATGAAATATTCTTCATTTTGTGACTCTATTTTGTGACCCAGACAGCCTTAAGCTTCCCCTCAGTTTGTGAGGAAACATTTATTGCTGGACCCTAGGCCCTTGACATCTCTATAAAATGTACTGTAAGTCCCGTCTCTGTCCTTCTGAAGTACAAATCTCTCAGCCTCTTTCCAGGTTTGTAGTCCAGAGATGCCTTTTTCTGCCACCTGAGAAAAGCTCTTTGAAAGGTAAACACCAAGGAAGGAACTACCTTCAAGTTCTAGGTTCTCTGAAGGGGAAGGAAAGGTGGGGACTTTGGGGAGGAGTGGGTTGAGGTCCCTCCAAGTTACAAAACTACTTCCACTCATACAGATGGTCTAGAATTGGCCCCAAACTCTGCCCTTAAAAACTGTACAGTCCATTCAATGTCATATCTGGCTACCTAGTGGTAAACCCAAAATTCGAAGACTAAGGAATCCCTCAAAAAAAGATTTATTAGCAATTGCAAGTGTTATTTACCAAAGGACCAGGTTTTCGATGTGTTCTGAGATTGCCAGCAGCCAGGCAGGATGGTGGTCAGAAATATATCTGCTGAGTTTAGGGCCAACTGCTCTTACAAAGAAAATTTAGGAAGGGAAATTATAAGTCAGTTCAGAATAAGTTCTTGTTGCTTCTGGGTTGGTTGGTAATTAAGATGCCCAGAGAGTGACTACCTAGTCACTAGACTAGTTTCAGTAAAAATTTGCACAGCAGGGGCTGGAGGGATGGCTCAGTGGTTAAGAGCACTGACTCTTCTTGCAGACGACCCGGGTTTGATTCCTAGCACCCACATAGCGGCTACGAACCATCCTTAACTTCAGTTCCAGGGGAATCTGAAGCCCTCTTCTGACCTCCGAGGCATTGCATGACATGGGTATACTCACATACATGCAGGCAATACACTCATACACATAAAATAAAAATATTTTTTAAAAATTTGCAAAATAAATAGCATGGAAATTCTAGACCAGCCAGGGCTACACCATGAGTCACAGGCTAGCCTGAGCTACACATTGAGACCCTGTCTCAATTTACACTGATGGACATTTGGGTACAACTCCCTGAATGGATAGGATTTAGCATGCATGGCAGAAAACTTGAGGTCTGGCAGAGGGTGGGGTGGGGGAGGAATGGATCGGGGAGGAGGGGTCTAAATTTGATTAAGACCTGTTGTATGAAATTACAAAGACTCAATAAAAATATTTATGTATTAAAAAAGAAAGGTGAAATATTTTTATCATTTTAACCCACTGAGGTTAACTAACTTTCTGATCTTTATCTTCTTCTATTTTCCCATATATAATTCAATTTAAGACATGGCAGAAATTTTCCTTGTCACTAGGTCCCTGCCCATCCCTGTTGCTGGCTTCTTTCTGATCATCTTGCCCAGTGGAAGTATTATTCTCTAATACTCAAGAATACGATTTTTATTAAAAATTCCTCAAATTCTTCTCTTCGTGTTTTGCATTTTTTCCATTCATCAGATAATGAAGTGGAGGAAAGAAAGTGCCGAAGATGCTCTGTACCACATATCACCTAGCAGAGCACCATATATGATGCTTGCAGATGAAACCTTTTCCCTCCAAAGGAACATGGAGCTGTTAATTACCTTCAGAAACATGCCAATGGCCAAGTCTGGTGGCAAATGCCTGTAGTCCCAGCACTCAGGAGCCAGACGCAGAAGAATCATGACTTTGATCCTACTTTGAAAAAATTAATACCAGACAACAAACCATGCTACAATTTAAATAATATTTTTATTTTCTGCGAGCAGAAAATACTGTGGATTTTATTTGTTTGATTTTTTATTCACTTGTTTTTTGCATAAGCCAAGAGGAAGCATCCTGAGTTCAGCTTTCTATTTTCCTATGAAGATACCAAATCCGGAAAGACAGAGGAACTTCCTTTAAGGGAAATACTCCAAGTGTCTTCCTAGATAAAACCCCAAGAAGGTAAATAGGGCTCTGATGCAGTGGTAGATCTTTGGGAATTTAACTAATTCTTACGAAGGAGCAGAGGTCCGGAGGAAATCCTCCAGTGACTGCACTGAAGGTTTTGACCCTCTTCTTAGGAGGATTCTCCCTCCTCTTAGCCTGAGCCCTTTAACAGCATCGAGTAGCCACCTCTGTTTTGCAGACTTGATTATTCTTATGCCTTCTGTCTTCAGCAGTACCAAAGCTTAGGCAAAAAGAAGTCTTTGACTGCGTTGCCCATGTCCATTTCCTGTAGGTAACATCCACTGAGAGGAGAAGCGAAGGTGTGGGGAAATGAAGAAACGTGTCTGAGGTCTGTCTGTGCCTCCAGTTTACACCAGCATCAGGATGTAGAGTCCAAGTCTCTTGGTCTGGTCTTCATCTTGGTGTCCCACGCTGGAATTCTCCTAATGCCTTTGGGAATTTGGGGCTGCAAGGAGCAGGGGCTGGATGTTGAGGACAATGTAACTTCCTTCAGGAAGAGGTGACCGTTGGGCTCTTCTGTGAAGCCACAGTCGTGAGAACACGCTATGCTGGTGTTGAGAAAGCCTACAATTGATTCAAAGGAAATATAAGGTGTATTTCTTTTAGATGACCTTAGGCACTTAAGCATCACAGGAATATTCATATGTCACCTATGGAAATGTTTCTCACTATTATAATATTTAAAGTTCTTAGCAACAATAGAAGAATCTATGATAAAGAGTTGTGTGACTCAAGGTGACTTAAGGCTTCTGCTCTTTTTCATATGAGGGGGAGATTCTTAGAAGAGTTAACTAATGATTCTTTAATGCTTATAAAAGTATACTTATACTCTAGGAAATATTTTATAATATAAAACTGTGCATTTATATTTCTCACCTTTGTATGATTACTAAACACTGACTGAGAAAATCATGAAACTACCTTTAATTCTGCACCATGAGCTGAATCTGACATAATTCACCTATTCAGCTACCCATATATTTCTATTAAGAAATGGTTCTGTTGATGTCCTCCCTCTGAGAAATTCCTCACTGTCCTTGAATCCCTCCCTTGCCTCCCATTTTTAAGGAGTGACTCCAGTGGGGAGCGGAAGAAACCACAGGGCAGAACTTTCTTTGATTTTCTTTGCAGGTGACCATTGAAAGTATATTCCCAGCTATCATTTTTCTTTAAACTCGAAGTTCTTTCCACTATTTTATGACTACATTCTCCAAAAGTGCTTCTGATCTCAACTCCTCTCAGTTACCAGTAAGTGACCTCACGATCCATCACTACCCCTTCCTTTCTGGTCTATAGTCTCCCATTCTATTTCTTCTCTGCCTTCAGTAAATGTAAATTCTAAAGCTTTCCCCATCACAGAAGAAAGAGAATCAAACAGCAGAAATGTTCCCGAGCACTTCTTGAGCTCTTTACCTATATTCAGGGGTTGCTACTCACTTTTGACAGTAGCATTTTAAAGCCTTGTCATATTAAATGAAAATACTCTTATCAAGGTTGCTTGTCGCTGTCTAGGTGCAAATCCAGTCCTATCTGCATTCCCTTTCCTTCTTGGCTATTGTATGACACATGCCGCTGAAGACTGTGCTCTCCTTCCCATCGACTTCTCAGCTTCCAGAACTATGAGAAATAATTTCCTCTTATTTGTGAAGTAGCCAACTCAATATTTTGCTAAATTTATATAGCAGCACGAACAAGTGAACATAGTTGCTTTATGCTCCAAATATCTCAAACTTCACTCTTTGCCCCTCCATTCTCAATGCTCCCTCCTTACTCTGATCATCACATTTCATACAGAAGTCTCTGGCTTCAGTGATGGAACGTTAAATTATTGATCTTACCTACTGGTTCCCTACTTTGTCTTTTTCTCACACCTCTGACAGAATGATATTTCTAAAAGACAAGTTTAATATCATTTCCTTCATGAATTTATTAATGACTTCTTATCTTTGTAGATCAAATAAAGAGTATTTAATATAGGAGCCTGTGTCAGGAAGATTGTAAACTTGAAGCAGCCTGGGTTATGTCAAGAGTTTCAGGCCAGCTACTGCTGCACGGGGAAACTCTGAAAAGAACCAAACCAGGACCAGTTAATAAAAGAGTTTATTTCAATATCTCATTAATAACTGTATTTCTTATTCTCAAATTCAGTATTTCTCCCATTAGGCACAGAGTATATTCTCTGAAGATATGACATTTCCTCCACTCTGCCTTTGAAAATGCCTTCATGTGCCTAAAATACCAGTATTCTACTTCTTTTTAAAACGTCTCTCTACCACCCTCATCTGCTCAAACATTTTCAATTGTCCAGACTCACCTGGACATTTCATCTTTTAGAAAGCTAAAATTTTGTGTCCCATGATATTTTTTGAAGCATAATTTTTTTATGATCTTGTCATTTCTCTCATGAAACTACAAGTTCAAATGTCCTATGAGCACTGCTACTTGAAGTGTCCAATGCTCTTGTCAGTGAGTTTAAGAGGACAAAAAAATCCAATGGGGGGGCGGGGGGAGGTGGTGAGGGCTTTTCTCTTAGCTCGGAGGATCTGGGACAGAGTTCATGAAGGCGGAGTACACAGGCAGTGAGGTGTGCTCTGATGCCCAGCAACAGCCTGGATTTCTGCACAACCACAACCATGTGCTTTAACAGAAAGCATTCAACTTGAGACTCAGGAGACAGGTACTGCTCTGGTTCCAAAAATAACTGATTACATGGTCTTGCAAGGTCATTTTCCTTCTCTGAATCTTTGTAATCTCTCTATATGAATATAATAAAATTGACATGATATAATAACTGTGAAAATATTCTATAACCACTAGTCCTTTCTACCAGAAGGGCAGTGTAAATTATTATGGATGCAGTCTGCTGTGTCCCTCTCCAGGAGCAACGCTTAGCTTGAGCTCCACGTGAATGTGCACATCTGTAGTTATGTGGCTTGACAGGCTGGGTATTGTATTCCGTTTGAACTTTGACTCAGAAAATGAACATTATGCGATACAGATTATCTGTCTACCTTTCCAGCCTAAAGAAAAATGAGATGAGATGAAGGGAAGTCTGAGGACAGACAGCGGAGCAAGGACAAATGAAAAATTTGTTTAAATGGAAAGATGACTTAGTTTTTTTCCTGGTACAAAAATGGAATGATACCCCTCACTTGTTCTCTTGGAACAGCTGTCTTTAGAAATCTTATGAATTCTTTCTCTGTGTCTTTGAAATACATACAGTTTTCAAAGACTAAATAGCTCTGTCACTTTTACAAGCTCCCTCTCCCCCTCTTCCTCCTTCATCTTTTCTTCCTCCTCTTCTTCCTCTCTTAATTTCTTTTTAAAAAACAATTCATCTATATAAGTCAAATGCTTTTAACATTAGCACAAGGGCACCTTTTCGGCTAAAAGAGCCGTCTCATCACTGACAGTAGTTTCCTTTTCTTCACATCTTCTCTTTTAGAAGTGGTCTTAATCTTCCCCCAAGTACCTAGGAACAGATCTTCCTAATCCCTTGAAGTTTATACCATTCTAAAGAATCTCAAATCCACAGCCTTTTCCATTGACGCCCTCCTACTGAAACAAAGTAGTGGCTTTTATCATGTTAGTAAGAAGCTGAGTCCAGGAAAAGGGTTTAAGATTTGTGCTGATGTTCCTCTTCACAGATCTCAGTGGCACAGGCTGACATGTGCCTTCAGTAGGGGAAGTGGGAGAAAATACAGGAGCTGTGTGCTCAGGTTCTAGGGCCTGCACGGCCAGCGTTTTACCGACAGCACCATCTCATTGGCCCATGTTAATTTTAAACCACAGTAAAAATATCTACAGAGGGAAGTGGCTTCCAGGGAGGGGAGGGGAGAGGGAGGGGAGGGGAGAGGAGAAGGCTTTGAGTTTTTGTGCGTAAACTCTGGAGGGTTGGATTCTAAACCCTGCCTGTTTCCTAGGCAGCTGGGTTTCTCTAGGTAATGAAGACTCAGCAGTTGAGAAGCGTGGCGGGTTGAATGTTGCTGTCACATTCTACCCATACTTTTGCTTTTCCTGTAGCTCATACCAAGCAGTAGATTAACACCAGCGGTTTGATATGGCACTAAAATGTGAATGTATTAATTTAGAGGAGAAAATTAAGCCCTTGAAGAGGCAGAAGTGAGACTTTCTCAGATATTTGAGGACCAGTCTCCCAGGCCTGTGGTGGTAAGTGATCCTACTCCCTTACATCTATCACACAGCTGTTGGCCTTGGCAGCACTGAGCTGTTTCCATGGCCATCTGACCTTGTGATGCTGAAGGGTGACGGACACTGACTGCAGAGAGGTAGTTTATGAGTAAAAAAAGATCATTAAACAAATACGGAGGACACCTGGAAAGATTTGGGAAGCACCAAGAGTCCGAAACTGAGACAAAGACTGTCAGAAAGAGGTTTCTTGTTCTGCGGAATCAGAGAAGAGAAATCCACACAACATTTTGTTTGCATTTACTTGTGATTCTAAGCACATTTTTTCTAATGTTACTGTATTTCATTGGATCTGGTAAAATATCTTTTATAAGATTCATAATTATTTGATGTTTCATGTAAAAATATATCAATGAAAAAGGCAGATTATCTAATACCATTAATTATAAGATATATCCTAATTTCAGATATATTAAAGTTTAGAAAAATACCTGTGTTAGAATCAGAAATACAAAATGTCTGACCGTAAATTCTTCTGCTCAGATGAAACATTACCTTGGCAGAAAATGAAATCTACTCATCTAGTTGAAATACATGTCTTCACCAGTCTATTCTGATATTTGGGAATTCTGAAATTTATTCTGATTGACTTCAGATTAGTGAGGGGTGCTTTGGGCACTGTAGACCTATGGAGCCTTTGTGGGACACCTTGCTGTTTCCTTGTGTGAGGCTGACATCTGCTGGACAGAGAACACAGAAGTAACACTTTGGATTTTAGAGTAAATTCTTGGCAGTGTGACTTTGCTGTAAGGTACATGTTACACATTTTCTATTTTAATTCACCGAATCTAGGGATTAATGTCCTCTCAAAAGTCTGTATGGTATGGCTGTTTGATTGACCTTTTGAACAAGGGCGTAGTCTCAGCGAATCTTTAATACATGAAGAATAAATGCTTTTGATTAAACTGTTATTTCTTACAGTTTGTGATGGACTGTTTATAAAGATACAACCTTCCCATCCCACTTGTCTCTGTATGGCATGATTTTCCCATTCCATTAAATGTAGAGTCTGTTTTCCATCCTTTTGAAGTCAGGTTGCTTTGTTACATGCTGTGACAAATGCTAGGTAGAAAAGGGGGTACTGTACAACTTTCTGAAGTTATTGGAGCTTTCATTTTTGTTGAATTTCTATGTAAGAAAGACAGGCTGAATACTGAAAGATGAAACCACCCACAGAGAGAGAGAGAGCCTAGTAGGATACTCAGGCCCAAGGTCCCAGACATGCAATTAAGCCCTCTCCTTCCTCTGTATAGAGGCAGAGTTTCATTAGGTAGTACAGGCATGCCTAGAACTCAGTGTACTGCGGTTAAACTTGTTATCTTTCTACCACAGCCTCCTGAGTGCTGGGATTGTAGGTATAAGCCATCATGCCTGGCTCAGCAACTTTAAAAATTTTAAAGTACATGTGCTATTTTGTTGCTTTCTGATATACACATCTTCTGCAAGGGATTGAATGTGTATAATTAAATCTATATATCCATAGACCTAAAGGTACAGATAATGGGGGGAAGAGAAAGAAGAGTGTTGAGGGTTCTAAAACGATGGGGGATTTGCATTGATGTGTGTCGAGGCAGATGGCATTGAAAGTATAGAGTGATAACCAAAATACTATTGGTCTAAGAGTGTATGTTACTATCAGTTTAGGAGCTATACAAAGTGAACGGACCTCTAAATAAAATTTATTTACTTAATTGGAGAAAATTTTCCATTCTTACTGTCCTGGAGAAATGAATTGTCCTTATCATCCTAGTAGAGAGGTGGGTAAAACTGTAAGAACTAATTTCTACTCAGCTTTAATAATAAATCTCTAGTCAAAGGGTTTAAAGGCAAAAGTGATACCCAGAAAGTTAATACTGAAAAACCTTATATCTAGAATACAGAAATGTTAGATACAATACCAATGCATACTAAATTCCGTTTCCTGCTCAGAGGTGGGGAGGGAAAGCTCCATTCATCAGATCCTAGAAGTAGACGAGAAACCTTAGTGAGCAGAGCTGTGAGACATACTGAGGGCTGTGACCTGCATCCTATGCTGTGGGTTGCTTACGACATACCGGAAGTGGGTGCTGGGATATAGCTCGGCATGGATATCTCTCTGTTGGAAACTTCTGCAACAATGTTTTCAAACATTAGAGTGCAAATGAATTTCCTAATTTAAGGATTTTTGGTATAGGAACCCAAGATTCTACAGGCGCTGTTGATGCTACGGGTGATCACCATTCGAACGCTCTAGAGCAGAGGCAGTTATGCAGAACCTCAGCACTCTGAGTGCAGCTCACAACCAGCAGGCGGGTGATCACCATTCGAACGCTCTAGAGGCAGTTATGCAGAACCTCAGCACTCTGAGTGCAGCTCACAACCAGCAGCTAAGTACCAGCAGCATCAACAGCACCTGACAACCAGGTCCTTGTTAGAGGCGCATGCTTGCAGTTTGTCCCGATCTACTCAGTCAGAAGGCATGAGCTGGGGTCCGGCCATTTGCGCTTTAGCAAGCCTTTCTGGCTATTCTGATACAAGCTTAAGTCGAGCACCACTTATCTGAAGAAGCATTTTCCAGTTTCAACTGGGGAACTTACAGAAATAATTAGCTGCTGGATCCATGCCATACTAGCAAAATAAATGTAAGTTATGGACATTTGTAAAAATTCTCCCCAGACGATGACAATGTGTACACAAGCTGGAGAGCCCCTGCCTGGGACTCGGGCCCACTTACTTCTTGGGTCTTCTCCAAGGAAAGTGGGGTGGAAGGGGGATGTCTGGGTCTGCTGGGCGAGTGGCTGTCCTTCTTGTCCTCATTGTTGCTTTGTATCTGCAGCCAAGATCACAAAAGAATTCAGCCCTTGCCTGTGAGGTATAAGGGCAAGGGAAGGTACAGGGTGGAGGGGAGCTGTAGGGGAAGGAAGGAGGCTGAATGTATTTCAGAGGCTTGGCTTCTGCTGTTTCAGGCAGTCAGTAGTGAGATGGGAGCTATATAGTTCCACACCCAGTGACAGGGAACATGCATGTGAATTATATTGTAAGCTATCACGGCTTTTCTGTGCGGTAAGGCTTTGAGAGCTTTTCCAAGAAACCCTACTTGATGACCCTACTATCCACATACCAAGGCAAAGTAAGAGGAATGCTGGGCTTGAGACAGTCCTCATGGGCCAAGCGGGTGGACCTAGAGGAGGTGGCGCCCCGTGCCTGCACTAACCCTTCTCACATGTTCTGCTTCTCTAGAATCACAGTCTGTTTGTCAAATGGCCCCAAGTTCTTTGTTGAGAATTGCATTGGTTTTGCCTGGTGGGTTTTTTGTGTGTGTGTGTGTGTGTGTGTGTGTGTTTTTTGTAAGGGTCAACTTCTCCACTAGAGTATGCATTATTAGACCCAAGTTTTGTCCAGTGGATGATTGCTAGTGTAAGAAAGGATTGTGCTGTTTTGATATGTAGGTTGCAGTGCTCACACAGAGGAGTGCAAAGTCCTTAATGGTTTCAAACATATCCAGACATAGACGGAGAAGGAGATAGATTTGGGAGTGTGGAAAAAGCTCTGCTGTGTCTTATACAGAAGACTCATTTGTGCTTATATGAAGACTTCTAAAGAATGATAAGTGTAGGTGTATTTCGTGAGAACCTTCCATGGAAATCAGATCAGATAAGAGTCACAAAAGCAGCTGTAAAACCTGAGAATGCTCCAGAAATCAGGTTGTTTCTCTTTCTGTCTCTATTATTAACACATCACCTTCTAGGCACGAGTTCAGACCTTCCCACTGCTAGTCACGCCTTCCCTTTCAACCTACTCACCGCTTCCAAGTCAGAAGTGTCCTGAGGCTGCTGAGTTAGACAGCGATGCAGTTCTGCGCTGGCTCTGCTCTGTTTCCATTTCTGCTGGGTGATGGGCAGATCCAGGGACTTAACTGTCTTGTCCAAGGGACTCTTTTGAAATAAGCTCTTTCTTGTTTTGCTCTTTCTTTCCCACATAGTCTCATTCTTGGCCGAATGGGCCTCCTTATTGGTGGCCTGTAGACCCCACAGTTCTCTCCTCTCCTGTGCAGAGTTTGTGCTGCACTGTGGATCTGCTCTGGCTAGAGAGTGTGCACACCACGTCTCTATCTGTGTTTCCTTTTTAGGGCAGAGTGCGCACTGAAATGAAGCAGGCAGATCCGCATCTCCTAAGGGGAGCACAGGATCTTCCTGTGTGCCTTGACCATACCCAGAGCCTTGCTGGAGCCCTAGTTTCTCTCCTTTTACTCTGTCTATCACTTCCCACACCACTTGGTCCAAACTGTTCCTTTTGGGGGTGTGGTGAGGTGGTGACAGCTGATCTCGGGAACCTGTATACAGGCACATTTTAGAGACTGCTTTCCGGAGACGGTCTCTGGGTGAGTGGGGTTCTGGCTCTGGGGCTAGAATCCTGATGGATGGCACATCAGTTGGGTTACAATTCCAAAAGATGTTGGATGGCATGAACTTTTGGACAGGTGTCTTCGATACATAGGAGTAGAGGCAGAAGAAGGCATCAGCGGTGACAGCCAGTGTTTGAACCTGCTTAAACCTGCCTGGGGTACAAGGGGTGAAGATGGTGATTCTAGGAGTTCATCAGCGAAGTACAATTTAAAATGTCAATTCAAAAGACTTCCTAAAGCTCTAACTTCAGAGGGAGGGACTGTCTTATTCACTGGTGTCTCTCCCCTTCAGATTTCAGATACTCAGAGTCCCCTCTCTTGACTAAGATACCCTGGCCCCAGTAAATAACCCAACAAGAAGATCTGACAAATGGACTGAGGTTTAAGGACATTGTGCTGGTGTGATTCAGCTGAATGACATAGGCCTGAAGGAAGCAGTAATAGGCTTGGGCCTCATGAAGATTATTCCTTCCAGAGAAAGAAGTAGATATGAAAGTGCTCTATGATGTATTGAAGGTAAATAACAAAGTGAAGTTAACCATGAGAAAATGGAGTATGAAGCCACCGTTGTGAATGACAGATGGATGACAGAGGAGAGCATGGATCTGAAGTAACACTCACTGGCCAGCATCAGGCAGGGGTCTTCCATCTCAATCCTCTGTACCTGGGACTTCAGGAAGAGCTGGAAGTCAATGCCTTTGGCCCGAGAGGGATTGGTGAAAAATCTTGCAGGGATACGAGATGTATCTTTGTGGTCCTCGTGGCCAAAGCCCAGGCTGAAGAGGACATCCTCCGCATCTTCTTGCACCTGGTCCAGAATCTCTGAAATGCTGAGGAGAGGAAGTTGGGGTATACAGAACAACTTTGAAATGTGTTGTGTTACTGCAAACTATCTAATCACAGTGTCAGAAAACTAAAATTTCTTATGGGGTATTTCTTTAGTGTCTTTTTGACTTTAAGAAGAGCGTTCACTACACTGAACCTAATTTCTCTGTCTGAAGCACAGGAAGTATATTCCAGATCTGGTTATAAAAGCTATCAGCACAGTGCTTTGAACAACTTATTACAGCTGAAAACAAATTTACATAAACAAGGAAACACTTTGAAAATGAAAAGCAGTATAGAGGCAAAGAAATGTTGTAGCTGCCTTTTGAAGTAATTGCTGCATGCTGTGACAGATCTGGCTTTTGCCAGGTTGCATTTTGTCGCTCTGCTTGTCCTAGGAGTTGTCGGAGATGACTGACTAAATGATGAGCGTGTAAAGATCACAGCTCTGATCTGATTCTTACTCTAAGGGTGGGTGCATCCACAACCTGATTTAGAGAACTTTCCCTCTTCCCAGCACTTTACAGCTTGTGTCACAGAAGATGGTGGGCTCACCTCCTGCCACTCAGAGCACCTACATGCTCAGTGTGGCACCAACCTGAGTCCACATGCCAATCTGAGTACCACTGGGCTAGTTTACATCTGTGTTCATTTTAGCAGTGAAAATAGGGTGATGTGCCTTATTTGAGGGTTGGAATATTACTGTCATTCTTTCCAGAAAGAATGCTGGGATTTTAAAAATTCAAACAAGGGCCATTTTGTTAGTAACTGGACAGTTGTAATCACTGAATCCACTCCTGTGCTGTCAGCTAAGTGCTCATTGTATCTCCATTATGGTAAGTTTCTCTGCCTGTGAGTAGCTGGCACACAATTGTCTTGATCAGTTTGTTCACAACCATTGCTGGAATTTGGATCACTTTATGGAGCTGTAAAAAATATCAAGGCACCTGAATCCTATCTTTGTACTTTCTCATTTAGTTGAACTATATGTAGGTAGGTCTAAGGCTCAATGAAGATAAATCATTAAAAAAAAAAGTCACATTGAAAAATGTGTAAGTCTCAGTGCCAAGTCTCAAATTCAAACTTGGACTCCAAATTTCTGATGCTTTTCATCATATCTTACGAATTCTTATCACTTACCATTAGGTTTTAGGTTTATTTGCATGTATACTCTGGTGGTTTTGATAGAGTATCAATAAGCCCCATAAATTAACTGGTCCAGACTATGAAAATGTCTACTGTATCTGTTGGAGGACCCATTTTTCCAGTCTTACTGGTCAATTCCTTGGTGATAGACCCACTCCCAGGAAGGCAGGTTATGCTAAGTAGATGGGCAGAATACCTGGTGTGTTAATTAAGTAGTAAATATTTCTACCTGGAACTAGCAGAACTTCCCCAGCAGAACTTCCAGACCAGCCACAGCTGTGTAGGTCTCCATAAGTCTGTCCGCTTTCCTGAACTCTTCAGGAACACATAATTTCTCCTTTTCTTCTTCATGCCTTTCTTACTATTTCTTCACGTTTTCTCTAAAGCTTCCTTCTCCCAGCCACGTGGCTGCCAGTCAGCCACGTGTCTGACCTCCATGCAGGCTCTAAGCCTTCATGGCTCCATGGCTTTCTTTCCTTCTTCCCACTATTCACCTCCTCAGGGCAGCTGCCAAGATTACCAGCTCGCCTGCTCTGAGGATTTTTCTTTAAGAGTCTAATAAAACTGTAAAAGCTTCCATTTGGGTTCATTCTTAAATTCTTTTATGAATGAGACTAAGAACCCTCTAGCAGATCCTCTTTCTCCCCGTTTCAGTTTGAATAGGCTCAACTATTTGAACAGTTGGTCAGTTGGTGGTGCAGCTTTGGAAAAGTCACAAAAGCCCTAGGAGATGTGGCCTTGCTGGGGAAAGTGTGTCGCTGGGAGCGGCTTTGGGAGTTCAGAGCCTTGTCCAGCTGCCAGTTTCTGCTTCTGCCTCCTGGGCCTGCTTGAAGATGTGAGTACTCAGCTTTCTGCTCCTGCTGCCCCTGCCACGTGCCCCCCCCCCCGCTATGACGGACACTTATCTCTTTGGAACCATAAGCCCAATAAACTGTTCCTTCTCTAAGTGCTTTGACATGGTGTTTATCACAGTCCCAGAGAAGTAACTATGGAATATTTGAGAGCCCCGTGGAACAAGCTCTTTGTTTGCCTCAGTTTTGCAAGTTCCTAGTTAGTCCCTGGTCTGAATGAAATATTTTATTGCTTCATTCAGTCAACAAATTAGTTGATTAAACGTTATACATTGTTTCTTGAGCACCTAGTGTAAGTCTAGGGTCTGTGACACGGTACTATCACTACACCTCTGGGGGATAAGGCTCTGTGGAAGGTGACGCCTATATTTCATGCATAGCATCCAGCTTTGAGAAGATTCCTCTGCATCCCTCACTATTTTTGGTATAAGCATGGTCATGTTTCTCAAGTGTGCATAGAAAATGCATGAACGCTCCAGTAAGTGACCCCAGAAGAAACGAGACACTGCTTTTGGTTTCATTCTCCGCTCCTTCTCATCTTCCCATCAACCCGACCTTCCAAACCTTAGTACCTACCTTGAACTAGTCTTGTTGGTCCCACCAGTCATGCTGCTGGAAGCCAAACTACAGCCAAGATCAAGTAGATGGCAAGGCCTGGGTGTCTGGAGGAAATTCCTGCAGAGATCAAAGCTGATGTCATGCAGAGCCTGTGTCTAGGCTGTTCCTGGCCTCAAGCATCCCCCACTAAGTGTAATCACCCTCTGCTGGACTTCTCTGATTCATCTGCTAAAGACACGCAGACTATCCCTTCCTTGCTGATTAAAAAGTCTTCCTCTCTACTATGTATCTTTAGCTCTTTGTTTCAGACCTCTGATTTTAACACCCCCTGCAGTTCACTGCCTGACAGAGGAGACATTCAGTGTGTCTTACCTGGAGAACGGGCTTCCATTGGTGGCCAGTAGTGTGGCTAGATAGAGACAGAAAGACAGAGAAGAGTTAAAAGGGAAAATGAAAACCACCTGTGTCCCTTCTCGGACCATAAAATAGCCCCCTCCCCTATACCATTACTGCAAGCCAGCTGAACCCTATGGAGTTTGCTCTCACTGTGATCTCAGTACTATCCAGCACAGCCTGGAAAGGGGGACAGAGAAAGCAAAGAACAGCTGGCCTGGAGGATGGGAACTTGTGATCCATCACTGAAGCCTGGTCAACAGACCCTCTGTCCTGAGTAGGGAGAGCCTTTCAGCTCTCTGGGATCATGTACCTGCTCATCACATGAGTTTCTACAGATCTTAGGAAATACTGGGGAGGGACAGTGCTTCAAGCCCTGAAATAAAATCTACATCTTAAAGCCAATTCTTAGGGCTGAGGGAATAACTCATAGGGGGGCACTTGCCTAGCATGGACAAAGCCTTGTGTTCTAAACTCAGCAATAAGAAAAGGACAAGGGGGGGCATAGAAGGGGGAAAAGGAGGACAAGAAGGAGAAGAGGGGGGAGGGATATGGGGGGGAAAACAGAAGGTCTCAGACTTCACTGGTATTTGGGCTTCTAATACAGAAAATAGTCATGAAGATAAGTAGTCAGTAAAGATTATGGTTATTTTATACTGTTTTCTCAGGCACCAAGGAAAGACTCTTGTCAGGGGTCATGATCGACTGGTGAGGAAATATTTCCAAACACAGCTGCTGATGCTTGCTGTGTTTATCTTATATCAAAACAAATAAACAACAAAACCGCAGACTATTCTCTCCCTGTGGATGGGAGTCCAGGAGAAACCTGAGTCTTCCTGGTGTTCTCCCTTTCCACCCTATTCTTTTATTTTTTATGTACATGAATGTTTTCCCTGCATGTTTGTATGAGTGCTAGCAGCCCGTGGAGGCCAAAAGAGGGCATCAGATCCCCTAGAACTTGAATTACAGATGGTTGTTAGCTGCATGTGAATGCTAGGAATCAAACCTGGGGCCTCTGGAAAAACAGCCAGTGCTCTTAATCACTGAGCCTCCTCCGGCCCCCTCCATTCTAGTCTTAATTTATCCCATGTTGTACCTTTTCACTGATCTCAGCATCAGAGAGTTGGGTCACTCACCCTCTGCTCCAAGGCTCAAGTCATCTTCAAAGCTGGTCCCATGGCTAGAGTACCCTGCCAAATAATCAGATGAAGGTCACAGAAAGTCAAGTCAGAATACAACAGAGAGAGAGAGAGAGAGAGAGAGAGAGAGAGAGAGAGAGAGAGAGAGAGACTAAAGCATCAAAGCTTGCCCTTGGAGTCACATAATTACACAATTATGCTAGATATCCATATATTTACAAACTTACATCCAGCTTTACAACCAATACACCTGAAATCGTGTTCATGATTTGATTCAGAATCGCATACATTCATCTGTAACTCATCTGTGTTCTTTACCACATAATCATGTGTAAAACCCTCTTCCAATTAGTTTATACATGAGAGTGTGCATCCATACTCAAACACACACACACATACTAATGCACATATTTTACAAAGTTCTTTTCCAATAGTGGCTATTACAGTAAGGACTAACAGGTTATCTGAGTAATAAGGGGTGTCTTAGTTTGTTCTTCATTGCTGTGACAAAACGCTCTGACCAGTACCAACTTGGGGAGGAAAGGGTTTATTTGTCTTACATCTCCCAGGTCACACGCAGTTCATCAGGGAGCCCAAGGTAGGAACTCAGGGCAGGAACCTGGAGGCAGGAGCTGGAGCACAGGCCATGGAGGAACGCTGCTTACAGGCTTGCTCCCTTGGCCCCTGCTCAGCCTGCTTTCTTATGCAACACAGGCCCACCTTCCCAGGGGTGGCACCACCCACAGTGGGCTGGGCCCTCCCACATCACTCATCAAGAAGATGCCCTTCAGACATGGCCACAGGCCAGTCCAATAGAGGCAATTCCCCGATTGAGGCTCCCTCAACCCAGGTGTGTCAAGTTGACACTAAAGCTATCCAGCACAAGGGGCATGTAGCTTTGAAGAGACACTTCCTTATGGACTTTCTGGATTGCTCCTTGACAACTAAATGACATTTTTAGACACTAAAGACACTCAAATATTCTCAAGCATACAGGGATATGCATAAGCATGAACAGCCACAAATACACAACTGTATCACCATCCAAATGGAACAACAGGGAGATCTCACCATTGTATATGGAGTGTCCCACTTCTTCTGAAAGTCCCTCTTCAGACGTTCTAAAACAAAAAGAGAATTGCTACATTTTTCCAGGTGGTTTTTTCTCGGGTATCTCCCACATACTCATATTAATTTTCCAGTCAGAGTCAGTGGTACTGGATTTGAATTTGCTTTCATATTTCAGACAACCAGTCTGTAGACACTAGGTTCACAGTAGTCATGAGGCCCTGGTACTGGCATGCTCTATGTTTCTGAATGTGCTTGCCTTGACCACACTGTCTGAAGTCAGTTTTGCAATGATTTTTCAGACTTATTAAAATAACAAAATAAAAATGCAGAAGCAAAACTGGGTCAATACATTTAAACGGCAGAGGTTTTGATGCCAAAATACCCATAACTTCCTGGTGATTTAATAGCCAGAATTTGGCACTTTCTGGGATCATAATTTCCACATCACATGTACATGTGTCATTGGTTTGCCTTATCTCCCCACATCTCCTCGCTTTGCTTGTAACATGTTCTTGCTGAGTATCATTTCCTTCAGGAAATAGAAGAAACTGTGCCCTGGATAAATATCTTCAGATTTTGCAATCATATCTTATCACGCATTTACCATCTTGACCAGAAGAGCAAATGGAAATCAGCATAAAAGGTAGTTGAGAAACAACTCAGTCTTATAGACAAGAAAGAAATTTCCTTTGTCTAAAATAGGTAAGTGAAATCCTACGCAAAACAGCCTTGAACTGGGGTCAGCACACCTGGTTTCCATCCTGCCTTCCCAATGCTCTTAATGTCCTCATTTTTATTTTCTAAACTATATTTTATGTATAGCAATGCAATTTACATTTTAATAATACTAAAAGAGAATGATTTATATGGTTTTAAACATTAAAAAGGATATTTTTTCATGTTATAAAATCCTTCCCTCTAGAACACATTATTATTGTTGTTGTTATAGTGAAGCTCTTTTATTCTTTAGAGGAAATATATATATATTTATTTTTGATTTTTAACTGAATTTTTGAATTTTTGTGCATTTCATACAATACATCTTGATCATATTTAGACCCCCCCACCTACCTGAACCTCTCCTCCATAGCACGCCCACCCCCCCCAACTGGATTTCATGCAGCCTGTCATATAGCTAAGGCCTATTGAGTCAAGTTTATGTCCCTAGCTGTCTCTCAGTGTGAGTTCATCCACTGGAGCCTGGTCAGCCTATCTAGCATCACTCCCTTAAAGAAGACCAACTCTCCCTCACCTAGAAGTGATCAGTTGCCAATAGTTCTTCAGCTTAGGTTGGGGCTTCTTATGTGGGTCGATGCAACAGGTGGATTCAGTGACCAGTGTGTCTGATTCCTATTGTACTAATGATTGATGGAATGAGAAAGAAAGCTTAATTTTCACAATCACTGCTGAAAGGAATAACACATGTTGGATTCATTAAGAATACAAAAATAGTTCTTACTACTTCAATAGACAGAAAGTTGAATTCACAAATCCACCGAGGGGGGTGTCATACAACAGGGCTGAAATTAGAGGAATAAAATGACTTATCTCCTCTTCTATGACTCATGAGTCCTTTTGCCTACACTCTGTTTTTCCTCATCACCTAGATTTTAAACACTGATTTAGGGATTAGTAGCCCTGGAGGTCAGTGAGGACCGGCCATTCTCTTACCGGCAACATTAGACTCCACCTTTGTTTCCCTGGTAATGCTAGAAAGGGAAACAGCAACTTCCCCTCCTTAGGATTTAAAATACCTCAGGACAAGGTGGAGTTACCAGGGCTCTCTTGAGGCCATTTAAGGCAAAGCTACTTCCTCCAGTCCAAAGAATGGACTTTGAGTTCTACCTAGGTTCTGGGTGAAGACTGACTCTCTGATCTGTACCAAAGGTTGGAATAATATATACTATTGTCTCCTCCCTTAAGAGAATCAGTGGGGAAAAGAGTAAAATGTAGTATCACGTCTATCTAATTGCAGTTATTGATAAATAAAATGCAATTATATCTAGGGCAACTGTCCTTTCATATACACATCAACTACTAGATGATGCCTTTTTTTGGTTTTTATCAGCGCTGATACTTTGTACCTATATCATCATTTCCTATTGAAAACTGCATTCACCTGAGTAAAATAAAAACAAACAAATAATGAGGGGTTACCTCAGCTGGACCAGTCAATCACCTGGCCAGAAGAGCAGGGCTTAGGAATGCTGATTCTCCTGAGAATGTGTTAAGGAGATGAGAGGAGTACTCATCCCCTTAATGAGATAGTGTTCTTGCATCTCCCAGTGCAGCTGCTTCCAGAGCTGTTGCCGTGCAGGACTAAGCCCGCTCTCTTTTCTGAGTTAAACAGTATAACTTTTCCTCTTCTTTCTTGGATACTGGTCAAAAGCCCAAGCATGCTTCCCCTGACACTTTCTACTTTATACTGTAAGCCCCTCCCCTGACCCCCTACCTTCTGACGTGCATACTCATTAACATCTATTGCTGAACATAACTGCTTTCTTGGACCCAAGCTCAAAAGGCATGACTTTCTCTCTTCCTCCTCCCCATCTCCCTCTGCCTGGCAGCTGCTGAGATTTATAGCTTGTTTGCCTTGTCTTTCTTTCAAGCTCTAATAAAATGGTCCTACAAAGTCTTTTTGAATCTGTTTCTTAATTGTTTTATTAACAAGAGTGGGTAAGAACCCCAAAAGGGAATTTGGATCCCTTGACTTTTATCATTATCTAAGTCTACTTCAAGGACTGATGTGTTGTGAGTTTTGCTGCATTCGCTTTCCTAACGAGTTTTAAATGAAAGTTGAGCATGATGCTTTGAATGGAACCTCAAGTGGTGTCTGAAGCGGAGAGGCTGGCAAAGTGAATTAGTAGAGAATCAGGCAGAAGTGCATCCAAAGGGGCTGATGCTGAATGAACCTTTCCCATTATCCGTCTCCAGAAGTTCACACGACCTAAAGGCTCGTGAAGTGGCTTAGATGTCTAACAATGGGAATGGGCTCTAATTGTCTGTAAAGCTGTGCTTTGATTTTACAAAACGAAACATTACATAAACAGTGTTTTCAGCTAGTATCCTTTCAATAGTTAAATAAATCAACTGTTTCCCAAATCTAAATCTTTATTTTACTATGAAAAGACAGCGTATCAAGGCACATTATGAATTGTAAAATGATATTCAAGATAATTAAGAGTGGATAATTAATCCAAATAAGCATTCAAACATGCTTCTTTCTCTTTCTGATCTATGACTATAAATATTTTGTGTATAGTACCATATTTACAAATGCTGTTAATATAAATTATATTTATTAAGACTACTAAAACATTGATACTGCTATATCAGTCTACCAGTAGAATGCTATCATTACTGTTGCAGTTAATATTTGTGTTATAGCTACATAGTGCATGTTGCATGTCCTTTACCCAGTGTGCTTGATTTAGAAGGATTTCAGATTGGGAATTTTTTTCAGATGTTGTAGTTTTTCATATGCATAAGGAGTTATGTTAGAAAAGATACTTGAGTATAGCAAGTCTAAACATCAAATTTAGTTATGTTTCATATATTTTTTGTTAACATGATTGTAACTTTATTCAATATTATATACAAAATGCTTCATTTTTACTGTGATTGTTCACATAAGGTCAGGTGTGGATTTTCCACTCATGGGGTCTTCTCGGCACCCAAAATGTTTCATATTTTGGAGCACTTTGGATGAGAGATGCCAATAGCTTGTTCTTCCTAGTGGTTTCTGGCCACTATCTAAAAGTTGATGTGTATCATTTATGGGCACACTTTTACAGAAAAATAAAGAGATGTACATAGGTCAAGGAGGTAGGGGACTTTTCTGTGAAATTATTGGAAGTTATAGATTCTGATTTGATTTTATCTCTTTGAGATAGGGTTCTGCTATGTAACCTAGGCTGATCTTAAAATCCTAGAATTAATTATTTTTCCTTTCTCAGACTCCCAAGTACCCAAGAACACAGGTACAGCCCACCCTACCTGGTTAATTCCTCCTATTGAACAGGTCCTCTCACACATCATCAAAAACCAAAGCACTTATATAAATATCATCCCACCGAAGCTTTGATAGTTATGCTGCCCTCCTACTAAGGAGTTTAAGGTGGAAAGAATTTCAGTTATTTGCTTACTGTTGGTTACAACAGTAAGGGTTGACTCTTGGAGCCCTTCATTTACTGGATCACATTTTCATCATAAGCTTTGGTTCAAGGTTTATCTTTGTAGACCAAGGGGTAGGGAAAGGTGATTTGTAGAACATCCAATATTGTATTTCTGAGAATTCACTCATTTCAGATAGAACACAATGTATTTGAAGTCAAGAAGCATATTTGAAAATACTTGGCATACCACTTTCTGATTGGATTTAAAGCCCCTCCACAAGATGAAACCCATACCCGACACAGTTATCAGGGCCAAGGTCTGCAACTAAATAGTCATAGACCCTAGGGGAGAAACTAGTACTATTATTCTACTAAATGGAGATGGCATTAAACAGATTCCTAATGACTTATTATGCTCATAGATTTTACTCATAAGAGCTCACAGCTGTGGTGACAACATGCACAAGACCCACATAAGCTCAAGCAGACAGAATTCCAGCATAGAAGTGGAAAAGTGGGTAAGGGGCCCTGATCCCGGTTGAGGGACTACTGGGAGCCAATAGCTTCTGGGAGAAGAAGAGTCGGGGTTTTCTTTAATGGTGTGAAGCTGGATAAGTTAATCAGGCTCTGCTGTATGACCTGCACTAAAGGGTCACAGATTTGGGGACACAAATTTGACTCCATAGGCATATATATATGATATATATATATATATATATATATACACATCTATACATCTATCTACCATATATATAGAAACAGAGTACATGAAATTGGGTGGGGGACACTAAAGAGGATGCAGAGTGGGGGGGTCTAAATATGATCAAAATGGATTGTGAGAAGTTTGCAAAAATTCAATTAAAAAACATGAAAATAAAACCGCATCAAAGAAGCTTTTTGAAAGAGTGATTAGGACTGAGACCTACCATAGGCCAAGATGCAGAGAATAAGAGGCTGAGGAAGTTCCTCCCTAAATGTGACACCTACATCACACCCCCTCCTCTCAAGGTTCAGGGATCATCTTGGAAGAGGGGGCAGAAAGACTGTAACAGTCACAGGTATTGCTCTTACAGTGAACACATATGAACTCACAGCAGCTGTGACAGCATGCGTAAGACCTGAGGAAAAATCCCAGAATGGAGAAGAGCGCGCTCACCTATCTGAGGAGCTGCTGGGAGAGGAATGTCAGTTTTCTCTAAGGGTGTGGCCCTTGGTAGGTTGACCGCTCCAGTGGATGGGCCCACAAATTGGTATCAATAGGTTTTAAAACAAAAAAAAAAAGGGAGAATACAAAACTGGGCAGGTAGGTAAGGGGGTTGGATCTGCCAGGAGTTGGAGGAAAGCGGGTGAATATTTTTAAAATAAATTGAATAAAATTCTCAATAATAAAATCTTAAAAATACCTGGCATCCCTTTAGGCAAATCAGACATCTAAAATATGCACAATTAAAAATCATGATTTGATGTGAATGAAGGAATTGGATAATGTGATAAAGACATTAACTGAGGTGCCTCTCCTTTGCGTATCTGGTACACTACCATGAAACCCATAACTTTTCATCACAGGCATGTCTCTAAACCCTGCATGCAAGTCTATTCTCTCCATCAATTCCTTTCAGCATTCTGAAGATCCTCCATTTGGCTTTTAAAGTCAATGAATTGTGAATAAGATTAGGATAAGAAAAGATAACACATTTTGTGAACAGCAAAGACAAAAGCAAAATAAATATTTGGCATTTCCTTCCAGGGCAAAATTAAAATAAACAATCTTTGATTATTCAGTGCTATTTATTTCCTGCCAAATAAACAAGGATGGGTTTATTTCTGTCACTTAATAGATGAGTTTAGATAAAGGTTATATAAAGCTGCAGGCATTCCTGAAGGGAAAATGAGGAGCAGGCAGGGGTTATACATCCTAGAAGTCATTCTTAAAAGGACAATTAGGCTTAACTAGGCCACAAAAGCTTTCTATTATGTTGGAGGAGACTAAGACTTAAAATGGTACAGGCTGAAGGGTTTCTTGAGGGGAGGGGTCTCGTATTTAAAGTGTTTCCAAGCAGAGAGATGATATACGTTGAAGTGCCTGAGTTTTTTTGCTTTGAACACCCCACGCCTCTCCTTCCTGTGCTCTGCAGTAGAAGCACGTCAGCCATGCACTGGTGCCGAGGAGGAGCCGTCCTCCTTCTAACTCCTCCTCTTCTGTCACACAAGGTAAAATTGAAGTCTGAGGGGGAAAGCCAAGGGACACAAAGCTCTGACACTTTTTCTTGTCCTTCCCACAGACATAGATTTCCATGTCCTCTTAGCTCTAGCCCAGGTCTATCTTGGATTTCTAAACCTCCAGCTGAACTTCGTCTGAGTCCTTAGGTGCATTTGACCCACATATTTGGATCACCGACTGACCCCCCCCGCCCCCCCAAAAAATCTTTTTCAACATGCCTGCAAACCAAACCAGTTCAAACCCCTTTTCTTGCCTCTGAGCTCCCACCTGCAGCCCGCATCCAGCCCACAGCTTGTTGAGTGCTCACCCACAGTCCTGAAGCCAGTCTTCAATCTTATTGAGTGGATTCCCTAGAAAAACCAGAAACTGGATCACTATGAGAACTGAAGGAAACCTGACTCCTCCTCCAACTCATGGCATTCTGCAAGCTGTCCTTACATAAGCCACAGCACAACTCTTCTTCACCATGAAGTTTTCCTTAAGATCTGAGAGGACAGCACCCATATGTAAAGATGTTGGATATATCTCTTCTCGCTACCTGCCTTTTCTCTTCTACCTGGGAACCTGGAAAATGTCCAGGCTATCAGGCCTTCTGCTTTCCTTCCTCAAGGTTTGGAAACAGGAATGGTTCCTTTACTAAAAAGGAAAAGTAATAAATAAAAAGGACAATTCTATGTTTCATCTTTCCTAACAAGCACGGACAGGTTTATTCGGCACCAGAACTTTTGTTTCTCTCTGTGTCTGTGGTCTCATCTGTACCTCAAATAATGTGGGCTTGTGGAAAAGGAACAACTGCTTCATTGGACAAGCACCTCCTCGGTGACAGACTTTCCAAAGTCACACACTTGTTAATGGCAGAGCCTCAGCCTGACTCTGGGCACAGCTTGAATTTAGCCTTGTCATACAAACAAAATTCACAGACAGGCCCAGGCCTTGCATTCTTACAGAAGTTTTTCAGGATGATGCATAAGTGACCTTTTCTTTTTCTCAATCATACACCTGCCTCTTTCTCACATAATGTTATGTTAGGCCACTTCTCTTTTATTTATTTAAACAAGTCAAAATGAGCCTCTCTGAGGTCACACGCTAACAAAGTCCCACCGTTCATGTTGTGCAGGCTGTGGGAGACACAGTGGGCACCAGTGTGATATCCAACAACCTCTTACCTTCCTGGAAAACATCATCCAGGCTGGAAGGGTCCGGATCTGGCACATCCTCCAGGGCAGCAGCAGCAGCCTCCTCTTCCAGGACCTGGGTTTGCCAGTTGCGGCTCTGGCACAGCCAGGCCCTTCTTTTCTCCCAGGACGTGGGGCTCAGCACAGATGCTTCCATGGCTCTGGCTCACTCTTAAGAGTGTACTGTCACGATGATGCTCTCCTGAGAGTTTAAACACAGTGAGACTCCCTTACAGTCTGTTTTAAACCACCCCTCTCATGGTGATATGCTAATCTTTGGTCTCTGTAGAAAGGGCTAATCTCTTTGCACAATCAGGAAAGAAGAGCTGCTTAACCATCTGCTGCCTTAACTCACCCACCCACCATCACTAAAATAAAAGAAGAAGAAAAATCTAAGCGTGAGGTCAAGTCTTTCAAATCAGCCAGTAGGAAAGCTTTAACCATCACAGGATTTAAGGGGCAATGAGGAAGCTTTACTGACTTAAAGTGTCTCTACCTCTCATAGTAGCTGAAATGCTGTATTAGAACACAGTTTTCTTAAAGCAGGAATGTTCGTTTATTGCTGAAATCCCAATACTCAAAAGGCTGAGGAGGAGGATCACCATGAATCCCAGGCCAGTCTAAGCTGCAGTATAAGACCTTGTTCAGAAGATTTTTTTCTTGGCTATTTAAGGATTTTCCCTTTCAGAAGCTTTGATTAAAACTAAAATATCTGGAAACTGAGAATATGACTCCATCAGTAAAGTGACAGTCATAAAGTTGAAGACCTGAGTTCAGATCCCCAGCACCCACATAAAAGTTAAAGGCTACATAACAAGCAACAATGCCGGATAGGAGAGACCTTCTTTTGAGTTGTTGGCCAAGGTGGCCCAAGGGACTCCCAGCATAGAACTGGGAAAATGAACAGCAGACCCCAATCTTATCTAAAGAATATTGACAACTGATTGCTGCTAGATGAGGAACAGCTGACCCTCCTAAAACAAAGACCTCTAGATAGGCTGACTGGATTCACCAGATGGACAAATAGTGGGGAATGGCTGGGGTGCCGACAACACAGCAGACAGTAGCAGGGATGTCAGAGTATAAGGGCTCTAGTTGGGGGAAGTGGGTGTGTAGTAATAAGATGGTTTGGGATGTTCTGTGTGATACACACACACACACACACACACACACACAAATCAACAAATTTTTAAAAAGTGTATTATATTTGAGGAGGAAACATGGAAATTTACATCTCACGTTAATTAGTAGAGGTGGTAAACATTACTACTGAAATCTACCTGATGAGTTTATAGACATACACAGGTGCCAAGGATCTGAGCGCAACCAATTATGACTAGTAATAATCAGATACATGCAGATTAGAGACACATGCACCAACATCTCAGTGTTAGTAGCAAAATCAATGAGTCTTTCTGTAGCAAAGAGTATATTTTAAAATGAAATGGAGATCTTTTTAAAGGTTCAAAACTCATTCAATTTTATGTCTTACAGGGCTTATACTGAGTTCAATATTGTATAACTGTATTAATTCATCAGTGAACCAAAAAATTTTATAGCGACTTTTGAAAGAGCTGTATCTTTGCTCTGGAAACTTATTGAGCATATTAAAGCTGTGTAATGATATGTTTCTAAAAATTTTGTTTTATATTTTATGGGGCTGGAGAGATGGCTCAGCAGTTATGAGCACTGACTGCTCTTGCAGAGGACTCAGG